CATAGGAAGGTGAATTATTTTCCCCCGTCGCTCTCGTCCCCTCCTCTGTCGATGATATGCAACATATCTGCAAATGGCGGCAAAATCTCATATGTCACCTTTGGATATAAAAAATTGCATCATAAATACAAAAAATGTGAAATATTTTTATTTTGATCAGAAATCGATGTAAAAGCCACAACAGAGCACAAACTGCTGTCAACAGACGACGTCTGATATGAAAATGACGAAAAAATAAGCGCTACATTTTCACCTGTTAATGTCTAGTACATAATCGTGAAGGTTTTTACGTCATAAAAGCCTAAATGGAGGACTAGCACTAAATGTCTGCCTTCCGACTATTTTTCTTTTGTTTCTCCGCATGTTCTTTTGTTGAGTGCAAAGCCTGTGTCGTGTGCAAAGCTTGTTGTACACAGCAAAGATAGACAAGTCAAAGCTATACGAATCATAACATTTGAGCCTAGTAATTAGTAAACTAGAATATTTACGACACCCGCCCTCCTAGTCATCGACATTATATGTCGAAATTTCTATGAGAGTTGATGTACTCTACTTCCGGTAGGTGGCGTTGTACAAATTTTAGTGAAAACAATAACGTTAAGAAAATGTTCTTAAGAATATTCCAGCTTTGCCCTCTGTACACGTAAACAGAACGCAGAATATTACGTATAATAATCCCGTTTGGTTAACTGTTCTACGAAAACAACGAAAAATTAAATGAAAAATGCATATCAAACTTCTTGCTTCCGCTTCGCTTTTGCTGTTGACAGGCTTAAGTGTTTCCTAGACCCAAACAAGAGTTCTTTTGACTGCAAAAAATTATATGTCTCGACATCACGTTATATACCTACTATGTATTTTTTCATAGTTAAGGATATAACGACCATAACATGTTTTATATGACATTTAAAAGTTGTGTTAACAAGACAGGAATCGTTTAAAAGCCATACGCGCACTTTTAAAAATAAAATAAAAATGTTAACATTTTAATAAGCTCTAATATACCAATTATACATACATGAAAGGGAATAATGTAATAAAAATGCTATTTGGTACCATACATGATCAAAAGAAAAAAATTCGTCCTTACTTCTTTTTATTTATGTACGAAAAAGTTGCATCTTAAGGAAAGTTTGATTGAGCATTTCTTTATCGCACTAAAAGGTAAAATATCATTGTAATATTCAAATTTAGGTAAAAGCAACACAATACACAGCGACGTAAACAAGGCCCTGACATTAAAGATGCGAGTATTTTCTCGAAGCTCTTATCCTGTTATTGAGTTACGTTTGTTGTTTATGTAGCGTGGTGTAGGTATAATGTGACGACAGATACGTGGCGGCGACCATTTAGCGAGCCTATCTGCTTTGATAGTACGCTGTGCCGCTGTGTGCTGCGCATGATGAAAACATCGGTTAAGGACCGACGCTCCGACGCCGCAGCCGAGCTCTCGCACGTTACGCAACTGCGCCTTGTGCCAGATTTAACTTAATTTTTTTAAAATCTACGTTCAGTACTTGATGTGTTTATGAATGCATCGAGCGGCGCATGCGATGCGTGTGCACATCACGTCTGCCCCGCCCCCCGCCGCGCCGCGCCCCTCGTCCGCCCCGACACACGCGGCGATCAGCTGACCGGGCTTACCGCCGCGGCCGCGCTCCGACAGCTACCAATGCGTCACGCAAACCGCGAAATTGAATTTTAGCTCGAGCCACTTCACAATGTACGCTACACTAATCATCGTAGTCGACGTCGGAAAACACGCAGGCTAGGTGAAATAACCGAGCGGCAGCGCCCACCTACACGCGACGCGGCGCCTGTGTGCGAGTGCGATGTGCGTACGTGCAACCCAGTCCAACGACGTAAATTCAACACACTGGGATATTGCCCACCATATATGATAAATGACATGGACTCTGTGAACCATTCGGTTGCTCCGATTAAAACAGCGCACGAAACTGATTTACAAAAACTTTTGTATCGTAGTTTTATTACGTTTGACCCGGCGAATTCGAACGAGGTTTTCGTCGCGGGCCGACGGAGCTAGCTCACAGATTTCGCCTAGGCGGCGCACGATCGACCTTTGGTAGCACAAGTCGTTCCGGTGTGAAAGCCAGGAGGTGCAGATGGACGTTCACTTGCAGCGATCGGCGAATATCGGGCTTCCTTTGTTTACGTGGGGCGGGGCGGGCCGCGAGTGCGTGGCGTTCAAGGTCAAGAGCGGCGGGCGCGAGGCGAGTGCTGCGGCGCGGCGGCGGGTGCGGGCGGGCCTCTGTCGGCTTCGAAGGACTTACCGGCCTGGAGACGGCGCTCCTGCAGCTCGATGAAGCGCGCCGCCTCGAGCAGCGTGTCGAGGCGGCTCATGTTTGTACGGCACGGCCGCGCGCGGTACGAGCGCGCCCGCTGTCACGCCGCGACTGGCCACGCGCGCCGCGCGCCGCTCACGTGGCCGCCGGCCCGCTCGCCCAATCGGTGCGCGGCGCTCTCGTCACGTGACCACTGCCGCGCGCCAACCGCGCACCGCCCCGGCGCGATCGATGCCGCTGCAGCGACCGTATGCACGCCGCTAGGCCTGGCCCTTGTTTTCCCGCTCAGCTGATTAGATCATTTTAATGAATATTTTGTCCGCTTCATTTTAAGCGTAACACTGCAAGGTATTATGTTTACAATAAGAAGATAGATAACGAATAACGATAACTCCGCCAGTAGATAACGAAGATGATGTTCAAGATACTTTACCAAATCATTAACTTTATACATACTTACCTTAAGTCAGATTATTATACAAAAATCAGCCCACCATATCCTATTCATTCTAACGAAATTATTGGTTACTTATATAACTATATATACAAAATATATAGAACATTTTATAGTGGTGCCTTGAAGATTATTTTGATAAGAATGAAAAAAGAAAATTTATTTTTACTCAAATAATTAGGACTTTTATTTTCCGACAAAACTTACACTGAAGGTAAATGAGTTGATATTCTGTAGGAACAAATCACAACTCGGTGAGATGTCAAGCTCAATCATTGTGCGCACATCCCTATAGATTCTATCGCGTTGTTTATCCATCGATGATGCCGTCCCGCTCGCACGCCACTCGGCGGTCGGCGACTTCGCTCGCCTACTTTTGTACCGCGGGCGCGAGCACGTGCGACAACTCAGCCGACTTTCACTTCACCGGTTGCTTTGCGCGCCGAATAACAACTTGACTTTTTACAATTTCACCTTAAAATTTGCTAATATTTTATGTACTGTAAACAATTCGTTAAAATTAAAATACTGAAAAAGATTACGATTATATTATTTCGAAATTCTATCGAAAAAGAATGTAAAGGTCAAAATTTTCAAGAACATAGTGTCCAATAGTGTAATCTGCTTGGTGTTTCAAATCGACTTTTTTTGTATATTTCTCACAGGATTTTGACAAATCCTTGCTACAATGGAAGAGAAGGGAAAAAGGAATGCTTCTAATCTGTTCATTTATAAATTCACATACATAAAGACATATTATTAATTTATGTATTGGATAATAGTCAATTGTTATTAGGTAAACAGATCCTTTACCCCATCAAATAAAAAAAATGTTAATAAATTTATGAAAGTAAAAAAAACAACATTTGGAGAGTTAGAGCATATATTTTCATGGTAAAACAAAACGCACCGAAAGTCAAAATACAGATATATTATATTTATAGAGAATTTCACTACATAAGTAATAAAAATATATTAATATGAAGGAAAAAGTTTTATAGCGCACCTCTAAATTAAATAATTTCGAGGGAATTACAATTTTTACTTTTTGTTGATAGCATATAATGCTTAAATTTTAGATATTTTGATATAGATTTTAATATATAAATATGAGTATATGTTTAATACTGAATCTAATCTAATTATATAAAATATATATCACGATATTGCTTTACTTTTTACTAATTGTACATATATTTATATTTTTACCACAAAATAAACGAAATTAAATAACACATAATCTACGTGAATATACATATATCTTTATTATACTTCTTCCATTTACATACGTATACAAATATCGATGGTCCCTACGTATAAAAAGTTAATTTAATAAAAATATAAAAAATTGTGAAAATTTTAAAAATTTTGGGTTACGACTATTTACGTAGGAGCCATAGATAAATTTATGTATTTTGTTGACACATACGAAATTTGATTTAGTTTTTTTAATGAACAAAACAAAGATGTTGACGGTATAAAAAAAACATTTTTTGCACAATTTTAAGAATAAAATTTTTAATTATTTATTTTAAATTAAACTGTCATTGTGGAAAGTGACATAACCGTGACAACATTAAAAATATGAGTCATTTTTTTTGACATTTTGGTCATGAAAGGAGTATAATAATAGAATATAAATCACATATAAATGTCAAAAAAACGGAAAAATTACTTACTAAAAATAAATGTTACATTTCTGTATTTATTTATCTACGAATTTTTATGCACCCATGTTTAGGTCAATTCTAAAAAATCGACTATATTTTCAAATATTTTAAATTCAAACTCTTTGATTACAAACTTCATAGTTTGTTTTAAAACTGATACAAACGTATTACTAATATATCGAGTACAAAATATATTCAAAATTGAAACTAGGATTATTTATCTAAACTTTTAAAAGCGGTTTTTATGCAAAAATAATCACTATATTGCTCAGATCAAAGTCCAAATTACTAAAGCAAACAAAACCGCCTTTTTATAATACTAATACACAATCTACAAACTAAATGTTTATCTTAAAATATTGAGAAAACAAATAACAACTTAACTATACTATAATTAATATTTCTTTGATCACACGAATACAATTAAACTATTGCTTACGTCTTATTGCCATCTGATTTGTACCGATATTAAGTCAAATGTCAATTAGAAATGACACTTGTATATTATTGCTATCTCTATTTTTTCAAAGAGTATGAAAGAGATGGCAATAGTCACTAGTTTACGTTCTAAATAACGTAACGTCTTTGCTAATATGGCATTGGCGACGTAAACGTACGTACAATTTGTTCTAAATACATACGTACTGTATATAAATGGTAATTAAATTACTAGGGTACTAGAGCTGTTGACATTCTCTATCACTAACCTACATCACACTTTAAGGACGTGGGGTTGAGTCGGAGCAGCGGGTCGCAGCTCGACTTCTTCATTGGCGATGCTACCCTGGTACACGTTCACTCCTGCAAAGGGGAAGGATAATCTTCACTTTTCTGTATCGGGGGAACGCGGACAAGGTTATGTGGGATTTTACCCACTGAAACCCCCTCGGTGGCAATACTCTAGTGCCACTGAACATGACAGGACGTTGATTTTTTTTTCAGATCGTATATCCTATTAGGTATAATTTTTTGATAAACGGCTATAGTTACTTTCGGAAATAATTTCGTAATTTTTTTTAAATATAATTAGTAATTACAACACAGTGCGTGTCTTTGCAAGCTAGATGAATGTGAAGATACTAAATATATGCGTATGCCTATACTACAATTACTAAAATATGTTAGAATACTGTGTCATAATAATTTTACGCCACATCTAGAAATTAATAAACATTTGAAAGTTGACCACTGCCAACCTTGCTCCTTGACAATCTAAATTCTAATTCTAGAGTTACCTTTAAGCATTATGAGAATTTCTTTCATACATTTCTCACAATCCATCGCCTTTTGACGTCTGTAATTTCAATATTGAAAACTCAAAAATATTAATTGATGACGTCACCCACGGATTTATATAAATCTTTTTTTTTGTGTAACTTACCAAAGGACCAGGAAAGCATAGTATAAAGGAAGTGCATCCAGAAGCAGCAGCGCGGCGGCTATCGGCTCAGGTTACTGACGTAGAGGCTCTTCAGCTCCGTCTTGGGCATGTTCTCAAACAGCGCCGCTCGGTTCTGGCCCTCGCCCTTCTTTACCCAATGCCCGTACACTCGGAATGCACAACCATCGATAACCTATAAACAAAGAAGTTTCAGGGTAATTTAGCCAAATTTTACTTTGACTTTGAACGCCAACTTTATTTACCATCCCTTGGACCACTAGTTCTAGCAAACTAAAAAAAAGTAAATATAAAAAGTATTCCATTTTGTTGCTCCGATTTGATACTGTTATTGTACCAAGAACACAGAACTTGCAGGAGGTAAACTAACCTTTCTCAATGCTCGCATGGTGTATGGATCTCGGAGCGCGTCGACTAGGGGCACAGCCTGCGCGGCGGTATGCGGTAGACGACGCAGGCGTACGGCCGCGCGCACCACAACAAACGCAAGCCGTATCTTGGCACGTGCATTGAATCCTCCCGACTTTATTGCCTAAATACAACAGCTAATCAGCGATTTGAAATATTCATTGTAACCGTGAGTTTCCATTGCCATTACGCAAGTATAATACATATTGCTATTTCAGTTTTGTCAAGAAGACACGAATGACAGACAATATGCAATATACCAGTGTTTCGGCAGTTGAAACCCACTGTGAGGGTGCTTTTTCATGCATCATGCAACTACGCATAAGCTACAAGAAGGGCATGAAGTGATAAAGGTAATTAAGAAAAGAATTTGCTGTAGAATGTATTGTGTAAAAAGTGTCTTCATGTAATTATTTCTGTTAACCCTGAATTTGGAATGAGTCAAAGTGTTTTCGTTATATTTTTATCGTATATGTTAGATTGGACAAGGAACATATTTTTAATATAGTTTAGTGTAACACATATTTACCCAATTTTAATTTAATCAGTTTTAGTAGGAATACTAGTCTATTTTACAATAAACAGAGCGATTTAAGCATAGAAAAATCTAAAGTGTCTTATACAATTTGCAACTTGTGTGAAAGTGTATGTAATTTGATGTTACGTTTATGTAAAATGGTTAAACGATGCCTGTAGGCATTACCATAGACAATTGCTCAATCCTGGACATCCTTCGGCTGGTTCCGGACAGCGATTTCTTGAGCGGCGTCATGTCCTGGTCCCACAACTACCAGGAGCGAAGCACATTGTAGGAGTTTTATATTAACATTCCAGCAAAAGAAATTTAAAGGAACCGACGGAAGACATGCCTTTATCATAGAAGAAATAAAATATGGATTAAATTTTATAAGAAAATGTTCCATTGGTTCATTTGTATACGTGAAAATGTGCGTAAAAAATTGTATGTTAGCCCAGTAGAGTTGGTAGTTATTAAATAACAATAATAATTTCTATAATTATTTTTTATAAATATTTACATCTACTAGGATAACATAAACTAAAATAGTATAAGTCACAATAAGCTTTGCGGTGCTCCATACACTGACTGTGTATGTCTCAGTTTGAAAGAAAAGCAGTAAAAACTGAAACGTCAAATTACTATTTTTTCAAGCAAAGCGTCGTAATAACTACATAATATAGATAAAGATTCAGTGATGTTATGAAGATAATAAATGGATGCATGCGAAGAATTTACATTGTCGGTTAAACACTATTGCATATTTTTTTATTTGCATCTCTTTTGTTGTGTTGATACTTCCTGCATGACCTTGAAATTCTATTTTTAAATATTTGTTAAATAAAATCCTTGTAATTATTACCAGGAGAGCATAAATATCAAGAGCACTCACCACTGTATTAAAGAATGGATGCATTAAAGATTCATGGACGTCAATACGCTCGCTCGGTTCCACCACCAGAAGCCTTCTAATTAGATCCTTTGGGTCATCTGTAAAATTAAAAACAAAGTTTAGATATGGGGTTCAACCGAGATCTATATTTTAGTCGTCATAAGGGATATATTAAGCGGTGTCTACTATACTATACATACGAACTCACCAGATATATCCGCCCATTCAGGACTGGTGAAAGAATATCGCCCTTCCATGATATTTCTTAGCATGACCATTTGCTTTCTATGCCAGAACGGCGGACAACCTACCAATCTGGAATATGTTAAATCTTTTATTAATAAATTGCAGCTACTTTTTGCTAAAATTTGACTTATTATAAAAAAAAAAACTTACAAAGTAAACATGATGACACCACACGCCCAGCTGTAAATAGACAGAATTACTTTAGATTTAAAGAAATAAATTTTTAAGTTACTAAGTTTCTTATAGAAGGCGTCGTAAATTCAGATGGCACACAAAGTCAAGGTCAAACTGCCAACATAGTCATTAAGTGGTTTATCATAATTCAATTAACGTTTCTGAGTGCGCTATTAACTCTATTATTGGGTATGATACGTACATATCAACTTCTTTCCCGTAGCCAGGCGCATCTTCAAACATATTCGCTTTCAATGTTTCCGGAGCGAGGTAGCCAGGAGTACCGCACAGTTCTGAAATGTTACAATATTCAAACTAAATTATTTTCTTTCACTAAAAACTGGCAAAAGACCAAACAAACGCTGAAATGGAGGAGAGACAATGAGCAAAGGAAGGAAATTTCAGTCTATAATATGCTCCACCTCAAGTTTAAATTTTGTGATTGTATAGATATACAAGCTGTCGTCTGCGACAATGTCTGCGCGATATTAAAAAAAAAAATTAGTAACCTATGTGTTCTTCCAGACTATGTTCTATATGTATGTCAAATTTCAGCGAGATTCATAGAGCCGTTCTTAACTTACATTCTAACAAACATCCATCCATCCATCCAAAAATTCGCATTTATAATAATTAGTAAGATGTATGCATTTGACAGTGTCTAGATTAGATTACTAGTCTAGATTAAGAAAAGCATTCTGAAATTAGGCGGTTTGCGTATTTGAAATTTTATTCCTCTAGAATCAAGTACCAGGGAGACATAACAAGATGAAGGGCATTGTCTAGAAACTGGATGGTAATACGAGCTATATCGTGCGACCTGCACGCAGCGAAGCATGCTTCCTTGCAATTAAACTTGTCCTTCGCTATTGTCAATTAAAAAAACATGCTCTGTGGATTTTATATTTTAATTACTTAGCATTTATTCAAGCATGAACTAAAGATATTTAAAAACTCGACTAAAACTAATTAAGTATTGTAAAATCTCACCGAATAACTTTTCCCCATCATTGAGCACCTTAGCGAAGCCAAAGTCTGTGATCTTGACATTTAGCTGGTCGTCCAACAGAATGTTCTCTGGCTTGAGATCGCGATGCACTATGTTCTTGCTGTGTACATAACGAACGCCTTCCAGCACCTGCCTGGGAAACAAGACTTTTACTATAGACTAGGACTTCATAAATAATAAACAGGTATATTGAGGCATAAGGAACACTTCTTTTACCCCTAATCCGACTACTCATTTTGTAGTAATTCATAATAATGATTTTTAATTATTTCACAGAAATAATTTGGCTGTTACTCTTCTTTAGAGCATAGGACTGCATGCATTCTTAAATTACTAGTGAATAATGTACTATTAAGAAAACAAGTAACGACTACGTGACTAAAATCTGAGACCTGACCGTAGTATTTTAAAGACTCCGCTCCCCCCCCAAAACGGGTCACGTAGTGTAGGTACGTTCCCTAATACCAATTAATAATTTGGATATATCTTTTGCATTACAACTTTAACAAAAACAAATTTCTTTATCAAAATAATTAAAATTCATAGTTACCCAAATTTGTTTATAATCGCCCTGACATCATTTTCACAGACACTCATTGCAAGAAAAGATAACAAAACTTTTTAGTTAAAAATTAACTTTTTATTTTAATAATTACCAGGAGCTCATAGCAGAGCAAGAGATAAACTAATACTGAAGTAACAGTGCAAAGAAAATACAGAATCTTACAAACGCACACATGTGTATGTTCTGACGTAAATAAGCACTAAACTTAAACCAAGTTATCTTATTACGCAGTAGAGTCCAGATTGGAGGGTCAATGAATGCTCTAGGATAGTCTACTATACTACAAGTTCCAAAGTCTATTCTTAAAGATAAATTTGCACTTATTTTAAGTATACAATGTTTAAATAAAAAAAACATACATCGTTAGAACACTACTGTTAGTTTTAACACAACTTAATAGTTTGGTCACCAATTTTGATCATGAATTCGATTCAAATTTGTATATTTTTCTAACTACGTAAATATGTTATACGGGTAACGCTTACATCCAATCGTTAAGTGTAATTGAATAGAAATTAAAATCTTTAGCCGGCACTGAAATTGCATAGTAGTGTGTTTTTCTTTATATATAATAATGTGGCAAACGAGCGAGCGGCCACCTGAAATCGCTGAAATAGCGAAGTGACCGTTGTCCATAGATATACGCAATTGCATATGCGCGGAAAGAAAACCTTTCCATGCAACCTCTCATCCGGAAAGTCCACTTCCACTTCCCATCCTTTTCTTATAAGAAAAAGGGTGGGAAGGGAAAGAGGACCAAATTAGGCCTCCGGGACGCACACTCATCAGACGAAACGCGGAATTGCTTCCACTTGACGCCTGTCTGCTGTGTGGTCGTGGTATTTCATTTTATTTGGCTCTACCACTGTTAAACTGTGGTACTTAAGTACAATAATTTGTCCAATATTTTTTTACAATGGGTGCCTTAAGATTGTAATTAAACATCATATATACACGTGGATTGGACCAACACAATTGTTATAAAATATATTTGAAAAAAGTTTCTCTAACCGTTGATTTCTAAGACCAACATCTCTATATAAAACATATCGACATCTCTGCCATTTAATATCAAATAAATTCCAGCTTGATACCTTCACGCGTTTTTGAGAAAAAGGGTCTTTTCAGATGGACGGACAACAAAGTGAGCTTGTAAGGGTTTCGTTTTTTTCCTATGAGATACAGAACCCTAAAAAGAGATAACAATTTATTTTTAAACGGAGATTTTGCTCTTAGAAACCCACGATTAGTAGGTAAACTCTCCATGATATAAATAATATTAATTAAAAATAATCTTTATAAGAAACTTAAAGGTTAATACGGGTTTACCTTTTAATTGCTGTCATTGACACAAATCTAACCGTATGAAATGACCTTTACATAACATAGTTTAAAAAAGAAATGGATTATATAAATCATAGAATTAATCGATTCATTAAATATTACTGTTATGAAGAAAATCCGACATTGTGCCGCTGTACTGACACAACACTAGCCTTACTAAAATATCGACGTCTATGTCCCCTCACTAATCATTCTGACACTTGACTTTAGTAATGTAAGCGCGTCATTCGCGCCAAAGGATTTGAAATAATCATGTCTAAAATTACTTATTCCTTATTATTTTCACCTTGTTTTTCCTTTTAAGACCCTTAAACACCTTAACTTTCCTTATCGTTACAAACAAGATAAATCAATTTGTCTTATCGATTGTAAAATCACGTTTCGCGGTTACAAATCGGTATAATGAATAAATTGATGCGTTCCTATAAAACAAGTATAATTTTAGGTTCAGGGGTACCAAATTTAAATCTTTGAATTAAACAATGGCTACCAATAGATCTAAGGAGATCTATTTGTTTTTAATTCATTTTCATGATTTTTTTATCGACGTCATCAAAGTATCAACAGGGATGAAAATGTTCAAGGTTAACCGTGATATACCAGGCCACCGATTAGTGCTTATTTCCAGTCAGCTGCCATATAGAAGACACGGCCGCAACTGTTTCCACTGGGACTAAGACTCCAGACAAATTGATAGGTATAGGACGTACAACCCCATAGAAAATGGACCTCGCCACAGGTCGGTCGAAACGGCTAATTGGAAATTAGATTTTAATATAATCATGGCTAGTAAAAAAATGTAACGCGTGGATTGTTATTTCAAATTTCTGTGTTGAATAACGTAACAAGATTGACCTTCTTTCCACGAGCTCAGAGCTCGCTTTTACGTCAGAAGCCTTATCAACTGTTATCATTAAGCAGACAAGGAAACATAAGATAATATTCATGACTCAACACATTCAGTTGATCATAACAATACAATCTATAGTCAAACACGGATATCTAGAGAGGGAATAGGAGTCGCTAACGTGGTTGGGGAGCTATCACAAATATGGATGGACACAATTTTTTGACATTAATTGGGGTGCTCTAGTGTGCTTTTATAATATACTTTGGCGTAAGCCAACCGGGTCAAGTATCCTTGCCGGTCTATATTAAATCAACTTTTTTTCAAGAGGGCCTTAGAACCTAAACAACGGGAGGGATGACTAGACCATAGTCATCCACACTTCACACACACCAGATATGTGCAGGTTGCATCATTGTTTTCCTTCTAAGAACATTGGATAAATATACATATGTAAATCGAAAACACGTCGGTACATGGTGGGATACGAACCCAGGACCTGCAAATTGCAAGTCAAGTGCTTAACCCGTGACCCACAGACACTCTTAATTTTTATCACTTAAAAAAAAAAAAAACATCTGGATCGTTGAAAAGTTCAGAATATTATTGTTTGATAGTATTTTTATGTTTTAATTTTGTAGTTCAGATAAAAATAGAATATGTATGTCGATAAATTCTGTACTTTAAGTTTAAGATAACCTTTATATACCCCGATTATCAAATTTGATTATAAAATATTGAATTTAATACATGAATTTATTATATATATATTATGTAAAAATACATTTCTTTAAAAATAACACAAACAGTTATAATTCTTCTATAATAATTTAATCTTACTAATATTATAAATGCAAATGTTTAGATGTACAGATGGATAGATGTTTGTTTGAAAGTATCTCCAGAACGGCTCAACGGATCTTAATAAAATTTGGCATAGATATAGAACCATAATCTTTAAGAACACATAGGCTACTAATAAAGTTTTTTATTCAGCGCGGACGAACCTGCGAGCATCAGCTAGTTTATAATATTTAAACATGAATGGAATGCTATGTTACTGCAAATACAAATTTATTATACCAACATAACAATAATTATATTTAATAAATAATTAATTTTTTAATTGTAATTAAGCTGTAATTGGCATTAAATTATCATTTTAAGATAATACAATGCAAAAGAATATTCTGCTTTAACATTTTATACGGCATTTATAATTGTTACACATAATGTATTATGTAATTAATTATTTATGTAATTTAAAATGACCTTATGTGTTGCTGGCTGTAGCCCGCGACTCCGTCCACGCAGAATAAAAAAAAAAATAAGTAGTAACCTACGTGTTCTAGGCTATATTCTCCATCTATGCCAAATTTCAGCTCCATTGAGCCGTTCTAGAGATACCTTCAAACATACATCCATCCATCCATCAAAACATACGCATTTATAAAATTAGTAAGATGTAAGTAAATGATATTATGTAATGTATCAAATTTGAAAAAAAAATTACTGAAAATTTTCCTATTTCACCTTAACATTTTAAACTAAGAACTTTTATTTAACAAAATTTTTAACATAATATAGCTAACATATATCACAAAATTCCTTTTGAAAGTACTGATTATAAAAAATTCTAATTCCTACTGACTTTAAAATGAAACATTTCTGTAATTTAACTTTTACAGTCAAAGCTCAACAAGCGAGAAGCTTAGTATAGAGTGAAAACATGAGCATGAAAAATATCACAGTCCCTAGATACCTCCCTCATCTAAATTCGACAGTATTTGGGATAAACAAAATATGTCACTTACCTCATGATATATCTTGTCTTCTTCTCTGACAGAGTCACCACGGATGTGAGATAATCAAACAGCTCTCCATTCTTGCACAATTCAAACACCAGGAAGATAAATGTCTCCGATTCAAACACATCTTGTAATTCAACTGTAACAAATACTATCTTTAATAGTTGAACCAAATAATGATTGAATTGATAAAGATAAGAATAGAAGTATGTTAGCAAACCAATACAAATCATCATGAGCTCACTATATGTCCCCACTGAGGATCTCGGAGCCTACAATAAGTTAGGAATGACTATGCCATAATCAACCACTCTGGGGTTGGTTGATTTAAATCATATCTTTGAATTTCTATGCAGATATGTGCAGGTTACATCACAATCTGTCACGGTCAGAACATCAGAAAAATGTATATATGTAAATCCAAAAACATGAGATTACAAGTCAAGTGCTTAAATCCCTGAGCCACGGACACTCTCTATATAATAATGAGACTTCTATATAAACTATTTTTTTTACTTTAATAGAAGCAAAATTGCAGGAAACAACTATTAAGTACATAATATGTACCTAATTTAAAACTATTTAATTAACAAAATTGGTATCAACATTCAATGGGCCAAGGTCTAAACTCCTGTAGTTCTGTGGTTGGTTTGCATAACCTAATAATGTCACTATTACATATCATGTTTAAGTAAACACAAGTATATGCATATTTGAATATGTTATATATCAAGCTATTATTTCACAATATGTCTGTATGGAGGGGATCAGAACCTATCCTAAGTCAGGGGTGAAAAGATATAGCATAGCGGCTCAGAGTGGATTGGTTAACTTCTTACATATCTTTCAATTTCTTTGATATATGCAGGTTGCATCATGATGTCTTCCTTCACCATAAGTATGTTGAATATTAATAATATATAATTTTCACCATTAATAACAATTTCTAGTCCTATTCTTCTAATTGATTTTACACAATTACTTTCTCTTTACAAAATTAATCTAAACATTTTATCATAATCATTTCCCTGATGTTACTCTACTTTTCATTCTTCAGTTTGGTCTATCATTCTTTATTTCAGATGTCACTCCCATCCTTATGTTGCCTTAAATGCTAAATTCCTAGGCCTACCACTACCGATGTACCCCATGAATTCTAAGCTAATAACAATATATTCCTAAAATGTATAAACAACTCACTCACTAATGTAAGGATGACCAGCGACCATTCTAAGAATATGAATCTCTTGTCGAGTAGCATCTCTCATGGTATGTGTGTCAACTCCATCTTGTGATTCCTGACTGAGGTCTATTATCTTAGCAGCAAACTCATGGCCTGTTTCCTTTTCTATACATCTTCTCACTGTTGAACTTATCCCTCTGTAACAGACATATATAATAACTTTTTAGTACTTTTTCAAAGTACTACATGACCAACTAGCAAGTGGTCATCTTATCTTGTTAAAATACTGAAGTGATTGTGAAGTAAAATGAATACTAATCTACAATTGTTAATTTAAATATGCGATGGACATCTCTTTATCGAATTAGTGTGAAATTAAAACCATATGAATGATTCAAAACGGAAATAATTAGAGGACGTATATAATCAATTTGTGTTGGTTGCAAAATCTTAAGTTGTGGACTAAATATCTCGAAATTTGCCTTTGCTTTTACAACGGATATGTTGGAAATAGCGTAACATCAATTACGGGCTAATTTCATTAACAATATTATTTAACATACCTTCCAATGATTTCTTTCGGTTCATACTTCGCATAAAATTCTTTCGCCGCATCTTTATCTGGCAAATTGTCATCGTCCTCTTCTTTCGCCATGTTAATAATATCCGCGGTTATATTTTCGGATAACTGACCAACTAGCAATCAGCCAAATCAATTCACAATGACGAAAGGTTATTTAGACTGCAAGATGACAGAAGTCATACTGAAAGAACATTCAGTAGGTAATCGGTTCTAAAATATATAGTTCTACAGAAATTACAAATCGTGAAACAATAGTTTTACACGCGTTTCTTGGCTCTAGTCCAATTTTTACATATAAACAAAATGTGTAGGCTAGAGCTACCCGTTATTAGATTTAATTAGATAAAAAGAATAAAAGCCGATTCGAGGTCTGTAGAAGTTTTTTGTTGAGGTTTGATGGAGGTGGGGTAAATTGATGTCAAACTAGAATTTTATTTGCAAAAGCGCCATCTTTTGGGTATAACAGGTACAGAAAAAAAAACTATTTTTGTTGTCTATGACTAGGTATTTTAAGAATTAACTACAATTAAAATACTGCGTCCTTGGAGAAAATAAGGGTTTCGTTTTTTTCCTTTCGAGGTACAAAACCCTAAAAAAGTAATTTATCTTTCGTAACGGACATTTATATCATTTTTATACCTATAGAGCATCGAAGACTGCCTTGATTTCTTCGTAGTTTCTGAATAAAATCTTTGTAACGACCATTTCAACTATATATCACAATCTACATACTGTTTCTATAAAATTAAAAAAAAATATCAATCTAATTTGTAGTAACCTCGTAAAGGAAATGATTACAAGCATGCAGTTTTAAATTTGGGGCGTAAACCACTTTTTGCAGAATTTATTTATAAACATCAATGTCATCCTTAAAATTTCAAATTTCATAAAAATCTGCTAGTTTTATGTATTTATTTTTTGGAAAACTTACTAAAAAGTATAAACGTCCAAAAAATCTGATTGTTTCCATATGTCAACAGCTGATTTTGTCTATGATTTTCTTACATTGCATTTTTCTCGCTTCTTTGCTCTTGTATCTTCTGTTTCATTTATGTTGTTATGTGGTATGTTTTCTCTTGTTGTTCTCTCCGATTGTGTTGAATTCTTTAACGATAAGAAAATTATGTCCAAGCTTTATCCGTGATTAGTTTTAGTTGTTTCTGTTACATATTATTGGATTACAACGATTTAGAAAAATTTGGAGCTTCTATAAACAGGTATGACTAAATTACGCATTGAAATAAAATCATACAAAGTGACAGTTTTAGTGGGTACATCTTATTCTTATCACCTTGAATTTAAGAAAACAATATTTTTGTTTAAATACTATGATTTATCCTTCTAAATAGACCTTTTCTTTAGTACAATTTTGATCTTTTAACTATGTACGAATTCCTAATTAATATAATTTTATAATCAACCGATTTTATTATTGTAAAGTCGAAAATACAAAAAGTAGGCTTTAGGAAGAAAAGATTCATGTAACATTTTAATTTTATTCATTGCTAATACTTGTAAATATATATGAATAATGCAAACTATATTAAAGAAATTCCAATCCACAATATGTAAGAAAAAGATATGTTACTTAAACATGGTACGAAACAATGCAACTAAGTTACAATAAAAATCCAATTTGATAATAGAAATTTAGTAAATCCTACAATTCTCTTTATAATTTCATTACCTCTTAATGTGGCAAAGTATTAAATGCAGTAAAAAGCTTTTTTTGTTGTAATTATTATATAATTGATACACATAAAACTATCATAAAAAAATGATAAAAAAAGCTTAGTTTTCCTGAAAACTTATGTATGCCACAACATACATTGTCAAATTAAGGGTTAAGACAATTATATCTCTTTTTTATAGACTACCTTCCAATAAACTTTATTTTTTTACAACATCTTAGTATCTTAAATGTAGAAAAATATAGCTCAAGTAACATTTAATATTAATTCAGTATGTTAAAAAAATATATACCCATGTGTATTAAACTGGGATTGATTGCTAATATCTAATCGGATTGATAAAAAACTGCTTCTCTTTGTCTTGCCAAAAAAAGTTGTACTAGGATAAAAGAGAGACCTTTATAAGCGAGAGTCATTGTTTAGCTCCAACAGTTAACCTTCATAAGTGTGAAACTCAGGTTAGCGAGACCTTAAACCCTTGAGGAAAAAAATATTATGGTCTCTTGACGCTTATCCAGGTTTGACTTAGATTATGACTTGCAACATCATCTTTCACAATCAATCAATGATAAGAATCATTATAAATTCAGTCATGATATCTGAAGAGATGGAAAATATCAAATCATATAAAGAAAATTGTGTCCACAACATGTTTGATGTTTTTTATTTCAAAATCGAATAGTAGTGTTTGTATAAGAATTCTATATAAAGAAAAGAAAATATTATATATATACTATTTTTTCTTTGAAAAAATTCATAAATATAAAGTTGTAAATAGAAAGATGTACCAGGAATGTATGAATAGCTAAAGTAATCTTAGTAAACTATCTGGGTTATGTGTCCAACATTTTCTTTATTGCCAGTTTGCACAATAAAATAAATTAAAAAATTGTAATTTAATATCTTAACTGTAAGGTAAATCACTCTCCGGGAACAATAGTCTATGCCTATGTTATTTTTTGCGTTCCATTAAACATGATTGTTTGGAATAGTGCCAATATAATGGAACTAAATTGTAGCCTTGAAGATCCTGCCAAATATTGATCCAAATACTTAGATTCTTTTCTTCTCAGTATATCTGTGACCTTCGGAGTCAGTATTTGGTTGTGTAGACCGAGAATATAAAGGTGAAAGTAATAACGTGCTTTATAAAACAGTATTGCGTGATTACAATTGATAAAGAATATCGTGCAACTTGAAATTATTAATTGTTGTTGGTAAGTGATTTTCTTCGAAGTGTTTTATTACGTTTTGTGTCACCGAAATGATAATGGTTTCTTATATCTTACTAATATTATAAACGTGAATGTTTGGATGAATGTATCTCCAAAACGTCTTAATGGATATCGCTAAATTTGGAATATAGTCTGGAAATATATAGAGGCTACTTACTAATTCAGTTTTTTTTTTAATTCCGCGGCTACGAAGTTGCGGGCAACACCTAGTTTAAGTATAACATTGCCTCTTGATACCGATTATTCTTTAAAGACGATAAGTGTTGAAGACTTATATTTAGTATAATTATGAGAATCTTTTTTTTTTAATCTTTGGACATAACGTTTAGCTAATCAATTATCCCTTAATCCTCTTTCTATAGCACTAAAAGTTATTAGCGATAAAGAATAGTAAAAACTGGCAACCCATAGGTCAAATCGCAAGGACGTATAAAGGTCACAACGAAACTGAAGAGTCATAAGTAATCATCAAATTCACAGTTGCTTCATTTAATTATAAAAGAATATTTCTTATCTTTATATTATAGGTCTTCTTTAAACACAATAATAATTTTCTACCTCTTGTATCTTCTTTTTGGAGTTTCGGAGCAATATGTACTCTTCATGTCAGTCGTCATATCTGAATTTACTCTCTTACGCATATCCTCTTTCACACAAACTATCCCTACTTTCTTATGTCTTAAAGTAACTTTGTAACATTCAGCCTTACTAATTTCTTTTTTATGCCCACGCTTAGAGTTGCCAGTTCGCCATATATAATAGCCAGATAGACCAGCCAGTTTGAACGGACATTTGGGTAGAAAGGTACATGCGCCCGTCAGTCGACTCTAGTCGCCTGCGCACGGCCATTCACGTTTGCAAATTTAAGAAGCCTAATAATAGGCAGACAACCCGGACACCGTTTATTTTGGCCGGACACGCAATGAAAAAGCCTTTGTCCGGCTTTATCCGGACGCATGGCAATGCTACCCACGCTTACGTTTGCTTCTCTTTTTTCATCAATGGCTCAACTGTCAAACTTCTATGTTATTTCTATGTAAAGATACAATATTTGCTCTCTTTAGTTGTTAATCTGTTTTCGGCTTAACAAAGTGTAGCTTATAAATATTCAGTAGCGGCGCGGTACCAGTCAGCACAGTTGACCTGGAATCTTGTTAAACACGACCCGGTTTTAGAGTATTTTAGTTATTTTATTTATCGTTGGTTTCTGAAACCAAAATCCCTGTAGAAAACATATCGTCATCGTTATCTTTCATAAAACAGAGATGACAATATTTTTTATATAAATGATGGTCTCAGAAACTAAAGATTTGTTTGTTTATACTAAAATAAAGGCAAATAAAACCACTCGATTGTCTAAATCCCTGCGTTACAGGTTCAAGCAAATATTTAATTTACATTTGACATCTTGTGTTAGAATCTGAATTTGCTTTATGATGTAAAAATAATTTTAGTTTACGATATTAAACATATAAAGAAATGCTTGTATTTCTACTATGCCCTTGACTACACGTAAAAGTTGATATTTTTGTAAAAAAGATGCTACAAAGCGAAGTAAATAATTTCATTGTTTGATGAAATATTGGACGCCTGATGTTATTTATTAGCATTAGTTGTATCATAGTATTTTTGCTAAGTTATTCCTCGTAAACAAACGTCGTATTAAAATAAAAAAAAATTGTGACAATATTTGCCCATTTACCTTTAGCACGACTGTGTCTGATGAATGCAAGTTGTCATCATTGTTAATGTTGTTGTAGTTGACCTTGTGTCCTAACATCAGATGCATTGGACATTCAGTTGTCACACGACTTCAAGGAACCGTTATCCAGTTAATACCTATTAAGGATTGTAATAGCGCATTGTATACTTCTGGTTCGCATACATTGTGCATTAAGTGTGCCATTTCATATCTATGGTTAATATACTATCTGATGTGTTATATTTATCATCCACATCATCACGATATCTGGTAATCCACAACTGTGTAGTTTTCCCGAATCTTTCTGCCACGCACAGCCGCGTTGTGGAATGGTTTTAACAGTGGTAGACCCCCTTTAACATCTTCGCAAGAATTGGTCCGGTTCGCCCGGTGAAATACCACGACAACACAGAAGACAGACGTGAAGTAGAAGCAATTCCGCGTTTCGTCTGATGAGTGTGCGTCCCGTAGGCCTAATTTAGTCCTCTTTCCCTTCCCACCTTTTTTCTTATTAGGAAATGATGGGAAGTGGAAGTGGACTTTCCGGATGAGAGGATGCATGGAAAGGGAAGATATTTTTTTTCTGTGCATCCTCTCCTCCGTCGATTAAAGGTAGGTAACGCATATGCAATTGCGTATGTCTATGGGCATCGGTCACTTCGCTATTTCAGCGATTTCAGGTAGACGTTGGCTCGTTTGCCACCTTATGGTATAAAAAAATGGTATGTCCTCGGTGGTGTTTCCAAACAGCTACGATTTAGGGTCCTTTAAGAAGCGAA